CATAGAGTTGTTGGGTGGCAACAGGCGATTTTCACAATCTGCCATCGTTCACATCTGGGCAACTCAGACAACTGGTTTCATGTTGTTAACGCTATGTTACTTGAAAGCGAGCTCGTTCGACACGGTAGCTCATTTGGGGCACTTGTCGAGTGACAAGTACTTGCCGCCGACTTGGATGAGCGAGGTGATGGCGCCAATGTAGTCTTGCGTAACCAGCGCGAGCGTGATCTTGGCCGACGACCCAAGGATATCGACAGTTGTGCTCACGCACGTCGCGACGGTCGACGTGCAAAAGAGGCCGCAGTCGGCGCTGGTGGGCGACACGCAGTCGGGAAAGCAAAAGGCTCCGACACCGGTTTGGCGTGGCGCGCACGGCGGGTAGCAGAAGAGGCCGCTCTTTTCGAGATTCGCAGGGCACACGAGGCGCGAGACGCCGACGCCGCGGCCATAGCTGTCCTTGGCGCAATCAGCACCGCCACAACCCTTCTTGCGGCAGATGCAGCAGCCAAACGCCTCGTAGCCTTCCTTGCACTTTGGGTAGCAGAGCGCGCCGTATTTGTCCTCGTCGGTCAAGCACTGAGTCGCGGCGGGCGACCCGATTCCACGACCAATGGCTTGACGACGACACACCTTAGGGTTGGGGTCCACCTGCACCGCCGCGCGGAGGAGCGCCACGATTGCGTCGACGATCGCTGCGCCGTCGCTTGTGCTGGGGCTTTGGAGGACGTCGCGGATGCTACTGATGAGCGCAGCCGGGTCCTTGACGTCGAGGATCCCGCTGTCGATGGCCGACTGGACGCTGTTGAGAAGGCTCGCGGCGTTGGCCAGCGAGAGGCCGTTGGCTGCGATAGTTTGGAGGTCGAGCGCAATAGCACCTGCACTGCCGCTGACGCTGAGACTGCTGTTGCCGGCAGAGGTCAACGTCGTGGCGTCGGATAGCACGGGCGATCCTTGGAGGGTATGTGGCGCAGCGTCGATGGCGTGGACCATGGCGACGGCGCAGAGAGCAAAGGCAAGTGTCCACTGCATAGGAAAATGTACAATGAAAAGATCCAAACCTGTAGGTATCGCCCAGTGCTGTACGGAGCGACAGCCGATCCGCGCGCGGGATCTCGATTCGATTTTACCCACCTCCGGATCAGACTCAGATATCGCGTAGGCGTTGCGGTACGTGAATCTGGTTTCTGGGCGGATTTAAGCTCCCGACACCTCGTGCGACGGCACCAAACCGTAGAGACGACATGTACGAGTCGATGTCGATGCAGTCGCCTCGACACGTTGGCTGTGCACATACCGGTCGGTGCGTTAGTACCCATACGTTTCAAGATAACAGGTGCGGAAGAAGACGTGCTGGTCAACAGTAATAGGTTGCATCCTTTGATGGGCATCGCGGGTGCATCTGTGCTTCAAACAGGCTCTTTCTCGCTCATGGACGCTCGCAGCTGCAATCGTAGCCTGTCGGAATTGGTGTTCGTGATCTCTCGCGGGCCGCTGGCTCTTGGTACGCAGCGCGTCACACGGCGCAGTCGAGCGATGCCCCAACCCTCCATCTGTCATTTAGCGACGATACACATGTAGTAGGTGTGCTCCTATCTTGTACCACGCAGGTGCAAAAGCGAGGACGCTAGCTTCGCATACCTATTCTTTTAAGAGCTGGTGCGATGCCAAACGTGTCTGGAGCGTCCAGCGCACCGGAATAGGATAACTCGGCGACACTGGCCTGACACCCGTCATCCTGCTCGAGTGAACCCAAGGGAATTCCCTTGAGTGAACCCTTCTTTGTAACCCCATTGCACACATTCAGCACCCTTTCGTCCACGTCATTTTAGTACGAGTTGAGTGCTCGCTGCTAAACACTCACTTGGGGCACGTGTCGAGTGACAAGTACTTGCCGCCGACTTGGATGATCGAGCCGATGGCGCCGATGTAGTCTTGCGAGACGAGCGCGAGCGTGATCTTGGCCGAGGACCCGAGGATGTCAACCGTCGTGCTCACACACGTCGCGACGGTCGATGCGCAGAAGAGACCACAGTCGGCACCGGTGGGCGACACGCAGTTGGGCCAGCACACGGGACCGACGCCGACTTGGTTGGCAGCGCACGGCGGGTAGCAGAAGAGGCCGCTCTTTTCGAGGTTACTCGGGCACCCGAGGCGCGAGACACCGACGCCGCGACCGTAGCTGTCTTTGCGGCAGTACGCGCCGTCGTCCAGAAAGCTCTCGGGGCAGTCGGGCGAGCAGATGCAGCAGCCAACGTTGTGGAACCCGGCCTTGCATTTCGGGTACCACAGAGCCCCGTTCTTCTCGCAGCCTTGGCTGCTCTCACGCTTGCACTTGTCTTCGTCCCAGAGCGCGTAGCCGGCGCCACGGCCGTATGCCTTGGGCTTGGTGCACGAGACACCGATGTCATTGGCGCCGTCGACGCCGCCGCAGCCCTTCTTGCGGCAGATGCAGCAGCCCACTGCCTCGTACCCGTCCTTGCACTTGGGGTAGCAGAGCGCACCGTATGCCTCCTCGCCGGGCAGACACTGGCTCACAACGGGCGACCCGGCGCCACGGCCGACACCTTGGCGGCGGCACACTTTCGGGTTGGGGTCTAGAAGCCCCGCGACATTCAAAATAAGACTTTGGATCGCACTGACGATCGTCGCGCCGTTGCTCAGGTTCGGGTTCTTGATGATATCGCGGATCGCGTTGATGAGCGCGGCGCCGTCCTTGACGATGAGCGTTCCGAGGTCGATCGCCAACTGGACATTGTTGACGAGGCTGGCACCGTTGGCCGGCGTGAGGCCGTTGGCCGCGATGCTCTGGAGGTCGAGCGCAATGCTGCCGTTGACCAAGAGGTCCGAGAGCACGGGCAGGCCACCGTTGTGCGCCGTCTCCCACACCCGCGCAATGGCGGCGTCGGAGAGCGCGGGGGCCGCCTGAATGTGCCGAATGGCGGCGGCCGTGTTGTTGCGCGTAAGGCCCTGCGCCATCATGTTTTGCAAGTCGGCAGCGATCGCGAGCGACGCAGCGTCGAGCGTCTCAGCGGCAAACACCGACGCGAGCAAACAACAGACAAAGGCGAGTGGCGACCGCATCGGAAATGGCAGAATGAGGCTTCATGCTCCTGCGACGGCAAGGAATCTACAGGCCGTCGCCACCCACGACGGTCCGACTCAGATCCCTCGTATGCGTAGGCAAGAAGAAGAAGGAGCTTGGTACGCCAGGGTGGTGGTCTACGACCCGTTCTCGCCACCGCTTTCAGGGTCGCCACTTGCATCTACTGGACCCATCGACCTTTGACGTACTAGTAGACGTTTACCTCTAGTCGAATTATAGTCGCTGGTAGCCGAATTATCGTCGCTGGTTTGTAGTCTGTTGTGACGCGTTGACTCTTGTGTACGTGTACAGTGCGTAACCAACTCAGATACCTTCTTCTCGTGCAGGCACAGGCCTCGATGAGCGAGCCACAGGGCTCAGTGCACCTCTGCTTCAAGGTGGCGTCGTCTCGCGCCTCCCTCGTCAATCAAGACGTAGGAGCGGCTAGTAGCGTTGCGATCTCTCCAGAAGGCAACCCTCTCGCAAAGCTGGCTATCGATGTAATACTAGACGGCCGCGTCACGAGCACCGAGCTACCCCCAGCCCTCGCATGCCAGTGGAACAATCAACTTGGAAGCTACTCTTGGTACGTAGCCATAGACATGCGTGCACCTCAACAAGAATCCACCGGTGACGACGGGTGGCGCTACGAGACGCGTTCTTGCTGCCAGCGTCGCGGGTGTGCCGAGTGTTCACCGCACCGCGGATGATAGTAGCCCAGCGTCACGGGTGGCCGCATGGCTGGGCTAGCTGAGCTGGCAGTGGCCGCTCTCTTCCTCGTTACACAAGGCATTACGACGCTCATCCAAGTCGCACCCGATCGACGTCGGTCACGCATGTCGCGTCGTCGGCTTGTGCATCGGTGTCGCGACCCACGGCCATCAACTCGACATACACACTTGTAGCTTTGTTGCGAGCCTCTTGAACTTGTTAGATTAGCAAAAGAACTAGGCAAGGACACCTGCATCAACGCGGTTGTGGTTGTGACTTGCACCTGGCGATCGTCGCCGGACGGTTCCGCCGAAGACGCTGTGTCTCGGGCCGCGCGTTCGATTGGGCGTGTCGTTCCGTCGCGCCAGGTGGCACTGGCCACCTCGTCGCGTCGCCGTCGCACCCCGGGGCACATAGGAGTTTGCACCAAAACGTATCTTTTGTGACCCGGGGCACGGCTACATTCGATCCAGCACAGACGCCAGCACTTGGTGAGATGAGCAGTGGTGGCAGTCGTACCTGGCAGTGTCTCGAGCACAGGGGCACCGACGTGGCCGGAAGAGCCTTTGCCAAGTGGGCCAAAGCCGCGCTCAACGACGACTTTGACGTCATGTGCATCTCGCCCAGCGCCGTCGCGAGCTCGTGCGCGTGGTTCAACTCCAAGTCCGAGTGCACTGCCGTCGACCCGAATGGCCTCGCGACCATCACGTGCGCCGACTACTCGACGGCCAAGTCGGGCTGGTGCAGCGACTTCCGCCAGCAGATCATGAACGGGTCCGCGCCCATGCCGATCACGCCCAACAACGCGACGGAGTACATTGTGCCCGTGCTTGCCAACGCATGGACATGCTCGACGTTCGCGCCGACGCAGGTGACGCTGACTGCGATCGATGCCGTTGCCGGCGTCGAGTGTCTCGCTGCGTCGTCGACCGAGTGCATGTGGTTTGCGTCCTCGAAAGACTGCTGGACGCGCGCACTGCAACTCGCGAATGGGACGGGCCCGGGCCTTAGCTGCGCCGCAGTGCTCAAAGACCCGCCAGCGTCGCCGCCCTCGACCACGTACCGCTGGTGCCAATCGGTGCTGCACTCGTTCGCCAACAACACGGCCAACGCCACGACGTTGCCGCCGTCATCAAGTGGCTCGTCGCGTAAGTTCGCTAGCATGTGGCACTCGTCATCTCATCATGATGCTGTCTAGTGTCAACGACGACGATCCTCCTCATCGTGCTCGTCTGCGTCGTCTTCATCGGAAGCGTCGCCTTCTTTGCGCGCATGCGGCGGCAGTACCACCGGTCGCTCTCGTCGAGCAGCTTCTACGAAGGGCCCAAGCAGATGCTCACGATCGAGTACCCGTCCTCCGAGATGCACCACGACCGCCCGCCGGGCTTCGACGACCAGCAGCCCAAGGAGTCGCTCGTCCACGACAGTCTCCCGCCGACGGCTGCGATCATCAATCGGCCGCGCGACGCGGTCATCGCCGGCTCCTTCTCGTCTGGCGGCAGCGTCCGCAACGACACGATCCTCGGCATCTCGCTCGACATGGGCGACCTCGCGCTCTGGCGCCTCGACGAGACGCAGCTTGTGCACATCAAGACGCTCGCGACGGGCGCCAACGGCGTCGTCTCGCTCGGTCTCTACAAGCAGACGCAGCACGTGGCCATCAAGAAGCAACTCGGCGAGATCACACCGGAGAGCGTCCAGTCGTTCATTGACGAGATCAAGCTCAGTTCTCGGTATGTCCTCCACTCTCACAGCTGCAATGATCTCACATGACCCTCTAGGCTCGAGAGCCCGTACATTGTGCAGTTCATCGGTGCGAGCTGGGTGCGACCGCGCAACATTGAGATGGTCGTCGAGTACATGGAAGGCGGCGACCTCCGCGGGCTCTTGACGCGCGAGCCCAACACGCCGCAGTGCTGGCCCAAGCTCAAGCTCCAGATCGCGCTGGATGTGCTCGACGGGCTTTTGTATCTGCACTCGATGGACATTGTGCACCGCGACCTCAAGGCCCGGAACGTCCTCCTCACGAGCAGCCTCCGCGCCAAGCTCACCGACTTTGGCGTCTCGCGCACCGTAAGCGACCACGGCACCATGACCATGGGCGTGGGCACCTTCCGCTGGGCCGCGCCCGAGGTCTTTCGCGACCAAAAGTATACGGTCGCCGCCGACATGTACTCGTTTGGCATGGTGCTCGTCGAGCTCGCGACGCACGACTTGCCGTATGCGCAGCTCGTTGAAATGTCAAATTTTGCCCTTATGCAGGCGCTCCGCGACGGCCAGCACCACCCAGCAGCGTACCGAAAAGAGGTGACTGGCGACTGCCCCGACTACGTCCACGCGCTCATCGTGGCGTGCACGAAGGACGACCCGTCGGCGCGGCCGAGCGCCATGGACGTCGGGTCGCTTCTGCGGCAACACCTCCCGCGGCCCGCAGACCAGTACTGCTTATAAGCGACGTATTTAACCTAGTCCTACCCCACTATAAGCAAGTTGGATGGCACAGCGTCCACGACAGCAAGGGCTATGGACATTTGATGGCCGACAGCCCTAATCGCGCTCGCCCCGCATCGCAGGATCCATTGTGACAGGGTTTGTTTCAACAGAAATAGCGTGGAAAACCTCTTATCTTCGATATTCAAATCTATTATATGTAGCAATTTATCTACAATAAAAGGTTTTTAGTGCAATGTGGGTCTGGTCTGGTCGGGCGCGTGTCGCAGGCGGTGGGGCGCCGTCGCGCAGTTTCCGTGCTGCATGACCACCTGCGTAGCCCTGCGGCGAGGCGCCTTTGGCCTCGTACGACGGCGGTCGTCGACCATCGAGTGTCTGGCCAGCGACACGAACATCTCGGCTTGCAGGCGCCTTCCCACCTTGCTGCGCTGCGAGGCGCTTCAGACCCCGCCGCCGGTAGCCCCGTGGACGACGCTCGCCTGCGCGGACGAGCCCTTTGCGTGCGCACCGCTCGCGCATAGAGGTATGCTTCGCCGTGTCAAGCTTGTTCTGCAGCCAGCGTAGACCTTGTACGGCGCCTGGATAACGCCACGGCGACGCCGACCATCACGGCGGCCGTCACCGTCGTCCGACCGGACTCCGTCTCGGACCAGAGCTGCCTACCAACGATCGCACTCGGCGTGGCCCTTGCGCTGGCGTGCACGCTCCTTCTCGTCCTCGTGCGCCGCCGGTTCCTGCAGACGCCGGTGGACACGGACAGCATGGTCGTCCTCTCGACCGAGAAGCACCGCGTGGAGCTGACGCCGCCGATACTGGGCTCGACTGCGTTTGCCGAGACGCTCGCGGTCGATATGGGCGACGTCGTCCTCTACCGCATCGACACTGCCAAGGTTACGGCGACAGCAACGACGCTTGCGGCCGGCGAGTTCACCGACATCATGCTTGGCGCATACCAAGGGTCGCCCGTCGCCATCAAGCGCCTCTCGCCCACATGCAAGCGCGATCGCACGCACATTGTCCTCAACCTCCAGCACGAGCTGCTTCTGCACTCGACGTACTACGTCTTTTCACTTGCACGCCTGTGATTTCATCCAACGACTAGACTAGAAAGCCCGTACCTCGTCCAGGTCCTCGGGTGTACGTGGGTCCGGCGCTTCGACTTGGCGCTTGTCAAGGAGTTCATGGCAGGCGGCGACCTCCGATCGCTCTATCAGCGTCAACGACTCGATGTCCCATCGCAGCTTTGCATTGCCAAGGACGTTGCACTGGGCTTGCGGCACCTGCACGCTCTCTCGCTGCGACACGCGCGGCTCTCGTCGTCGCACGTGCTTGTCGACCTGAGCGGCCACGCCAAGCTCATCGGCCACGGCCTCGACGGCAGCTGCGACGCGCTCTTGCTCGGGTCGGAGCGCTTTCGCTGGGTCGCGCCCGAGGTGCTGCACGGCGACGTCGTGACGGAGGCTGCAGACCTGTATGCCTTCGGGACGCTTCTCTGGGAGATGGACCAGCACGACGCTCCCTTCGCCGCGTACCAAGAAGCACAAGGGTGGACAGCAGCGCAGATGATGGAGAAGGTCCGGCGCAACCGACGGCTGCCACTGCCCTTCTCGGCCACCTGCCCCAATACGATGCGAGATGTGGCGCTGCAGTGCATGGCATTCGACCCGAGCGACCGCATGAGTGCGCTCGACGTGTGCATTCGTCTCGATAGTTTGTCCTAACATTGACGACTATGCCTTGTCAATGAATGATGGCTCAAGCGCCCCACACAGGCTACCGTACCTCAACTCGGTTGAGGCTCGACCTGGTAGAGAAGGTGGAGCTGTACCCGGCGGGATTCAAAGTGGCTGCGTCGGTGCATGCGAGTAATCCCATCGTGCTGCCCAATATAGGTACCTATGCTAGCCCCATGAGGCCTCGCACGACGTCCCAACGAGCTTGCTTCCATCGCCCAAAGGCACGCTGAGAGCTGAGTGCTGGAGCCGATCGAGATGCCCGAAGCATCCTCGACCGTTCGGCAGTCTCAACAACTTATCGGTGGTGCAGCATCATTGCACTTGGTGCGACATTTGCTCGTACACACACCCTGTATATCCCACAGTCCGTGCCATGGAGCTGTAGTTCCCTTATACAAGTACATTGTGTCCTTCACCCTGTCCCATCGCCTTCAAAAGACGGTCCTACTTGAATGCCAACCCGATAGTCGCTTGTACTCAAGAAAGGTGTAGCACTTCGGTCGTCGATAGCAGCGACAGGCGTCTGCGAAGATTCCGAAATGAAGTAGGACTGTACTTGTCTATGCTAATTCGGTCTCAGACCTTTCCTGCATCCGGTCATCCGGTCACTGTAGCCAGGTTGACGGCCTGTCGACCGCGCAATGTAGCATTTCCCGACTGGGATGGGCGCGTGGACGTGCTTGGCGATCGCGGATGCGGCGCACGCGGGCTCCATGGGCCTCTACCGCGTCAATAGCAACGGCAACGTCGAGTGCCAGCGCCACTCGCTCGACGCCGACGAGAACCACTGCTACTGGATCGCCAACGTGGCGTCCTACTGCGCCTGGTACAATGCCAACCCAACCGGGTATACGATCGAGTGCACCGACTACAGCAGCCCGAGCAGCTACTGCTACAAGGTACGGCAGGTCCTCGCACCACCGCCACCAACGTCGGCACCGACGCCTCCGCCAGCACCAGGACCCGCACCAGGACCCGCACCAGGGCCGACACAAGGACCAGCGCCAGGACCAGCGCCAGGACCAGCGCCCGGACCAGCGCCAGGTCCAGGGCCCGAGCCTGCGCCTGGACCTGCACCGGGACCTGCGCCTGCGCCGAACCCGACACCTGGTCCACCATCGGCATCACCGGCGACGAATGGTCCCAGTGAGAATCCAGCGCCGACCATGACACCCAACGCTGGCGGCGCAACGACCAAGCCCACGCCTGGTAGCGATCACTCGCTAGCGCCGCCCAAGGACTCACAGACCGGCGCGCCACTGGTTCCGCTTCTGCTCGCGACGAACGAGTGGAGCTGCTTGAAGAACGCCGACTCGAAGCTGTTTACGCCAGCGCGCATTGACCCAGACCTCGGGCAGCTCGAGTGCTTGTCCGTGACGACCGCGCCACGCGATGTGTGCGCGTACAGCGCCGACGCTGCGACGTGCGCGCAGTGGCTCTTGAGCGTCCACAGTTGCTGGCTCAGCGACTCCAAGACGGCACTGCGCTCCGACGCCACTTGCCCGCGCATCATTCTCGTCCCATCGAGCCCCACATCTGGTACGTTGCCAGATCTGAACGTGTCCCCATTCACAATGGTGTTTTGACTAGCGATCCATGGCCCGAGCGATTCGTCGTCAAGCCCGAACGTGAGCTGGTTCGTCGTCGCCGCCGCCAGCGTCGCTGTCGTTGCGCTCGTTTTGGTCGTCGTCTGGTACCGTCGGCGGCAGGCCAACTGGGCCAAGGCCGAGGAGTCGCCCAACGCGTCTTACATGTTCTGTTGGACCGACAAGGCGCCACCGAAGGCCATGATGGACCTTCCGAAGACCAACAGTCTCGGCAGCGACGATGACGTTGTCGGCGGCCAGCTCAACATGGGCGACCTCGTGCTCTGGCGTCTCGACGAAGCCAAGCTCGAGACATCGCGCGTGCTCAGCGTCGGCGCGTACGGTGTCGTGTCGCTCGGAACGTACCAAGGATCGCCCGTCGCCATCAAGCAGCTCGCGGGCGAAAAGTCGACAGCGACCGTCCAAGCCTTCATCGACGAGATCCGGCTCATGACCACGTATCGGAATACCTTGTACATTTGCTAGGTCGCATTTACGAAGTTGGTCGTAGGCTCGAGAGCAAGTACATTGTGCGCTTGCTCGGCTGCGCGTGGGTGCGCCCGCGCGACATCCAGCTCATCGTCGAGTTCATGGACCACGGCGACCTCCGCCAGCTCCTCGCGGTCTCGCCGTCGATCTCGTGGCGCGTCAAGGTGCAGCTGGCGCGCGACATGGTCCAAGGCCTTGTCTACCTTCACTCGATGGACATAATCCACCGCGACATCAAATCCCGCAACGTGCTGCTGCACACCGAAGCGCACATGCTGCGCGCCAAGCTCACGGACTTTGGCATCTCGCGTATCGTCGACGTCGACATGACGGCGCGGGTCGGGACGTTTCGATGGACCGCGCCCGAAGTGCTGGAAGGCAGCGCGTACAGCCTCGCCGCCGACGTCTACTCGCTCGGGATGGTGCTCTGGGAACTCGAGACGCACGCCATTCCCTTTGGCAACGTCCAAAACGGCTGGAATGAGTACCAGTGGATCGAGGCGCTCAAGGCCGGCAGCGTCCGCCCCGAGTGCTCACCAACGTGTCCGCTAGCCGATGTCATTCACCAGTGCACGCAGTATACCCCAAGTGCCCGCCCGACGGCCCTAGCCCTCGGCACGATGCTCGACAACATTGCACTGCGATCGTCGGCCGACTAACCCCAGCCCTATTTAATGCATTTTGGCGGGATTCGTTTGGACGCCACTACTGTAAGAACAGTGTAGTTACCGTACCTGTGACGCACGGGTAGCATCATTCTTTGAAATCATAGTCACACCGTGCCAGTGTGGTATCTGCAGCTCATTGCCGTGCCTGCGATGACGGCGCGAACGCGAGATGCAGTCGTGATTGCTTTACACGACCCCAATTGCGCGTCACCCCGACAGGCCGGCGATATAGACTGCGCGATGTGCCACCGTGACGCTCCTTGAGAGAATCTTGGATACCGTGTCGATCGCTGCATTGACCACCAGCAGCGATGACATGTGGTCTGGCCAGGTGGCGCGACAATGTTTTTTACTAAAAAAAAGACTTGGCCTTTCTAAGTGCAATGTCGAGCGGCTCGAAAAAATGGCGCCCACGTTACGCACAATGGACAGCGCCACGTTTCGTCAAGGACACTCGTCTTCGTGCACCATGGCTGCGGTCTGGACCTGCGTGGCGACACCGACGTTTTATGGTCTCTGGCGCCGCGCCACCGACGGCGCTGTGCAGTGCGCCCTGGACACGGCGGCCGGGGATTGCTACATCACGCCGTCGCAAGCGCAGTGCGAAGCGCTCCAATCGCGGTCGCTTGTCAGCAAGGCGTGCGACGCCAGCGCGCTGCAGAACGCATCGGCACCTTGCAGCCTCGCCCAAGCCGCTCTTCCGCTCGACTGGAACCCGTGGACATGCGTAAGCAATCTTGCGACGACGTCCACTGCGCTCGTCAAGTCGGACGCCACCAACGCCACCGTCTGCTACTCGGTGGACCATGCGGCGTGCGTGTGGCTCCCAAGCGCCGCCGACTGCAGCGCGCTTCGACAGACGGTGTCGGCGACGGCGATCGGCCTGACGTGTGGTGACGCCGCGGCGCCCCGTGCGATGGACTGGTGTGCGCTACCAGCAACAACGACGCCGTCGCCTGCCGATGCGCCTGGCCTGCCCGGTAATCTCTCCTACGTGACGGATGGTCTCTAGAGTGATGGCATGCATAGCGTCCGCCACATTCTGGATCATCGTGGCTGGCGTCGCACTTCTCGCGGCGGGTGTCGCTTACGGCATCTGCAAGTGGTGTCCCAAGGCGCGTCGACCGGCAAACGATTCCCGCACGGTCCTCGACTCGAGAAAAACGACCTTCTTTTACCCAGCGGAAAGCCAATTTGACAGCTCGATCGGAGACGACGCGCTGCTTCAAACGGTGGTCGTCCGCCCGAACGTGCAGCACCTCGAGTCGCTCACCCTCGGCGCTAAGCTTGAGCTCGGGGACTTGGCGTTCTGGCGGCTCGACGAATCCCAGCTCGTGCCGCTTGCGACCCTCTCGGTCGGCACGTACGGGACTGTCCGCGTCGGCCGGTACCGCGACCAGCTCGTCGCGATCAAAACGCCGCTTACGTCGGAGCGCACGGCACCCATCATCCAAGCCTTCTTGGATGAAATCACGCTCATGACACGGTAGCCTCGGCCTTCATGTCTCATAGTCTTATGTTGTCGTATTATGTAGCGTCCAGAGCCCGTACGTGGTGCGCGTGGTGGGCATCAGCTACATTCGACTACTCGATGTCGAGCTCGTCCTCGAATACATGGACAAGGGCGACCTGCACCACCACTTGGAGGTGACGCGGTCGAACGCCACGCTGCTCTTTCCATGGCCGCAAAAGATCGCGTGCGCCAAAGACATTGCCAAAGGCCTCTTAGCGCTGCACACAGTGGGCATCATCCACCGCGACCTCAAGTCCCGGAACGTACTGTTCAACCACGCGATGCAGGCCAAGGTCTCGGACTTTGGCGTCGCGCGCAATGTCACCACCGCGACGATGACGCAGGGCGTCGGCAGCTACCGCTGGACGGCCCCCGAGGTCTTGGAAGGCAAGCGGTATGGTGTTGCCGCCGACGTCTACTCGTTCGGGATGATCCTCTCGGAGCTCGATACGCACCACGTACCGTACTACGACCTCCAGCAGCCATTGCATTCGCTGCAGGATTTTGTGCTCTTGCGCGACCGGCCGGCCACGCAGCAGCTCGTCAACGTCTCGGACGGAGTGCTCATGGAGCGTGTCATGAGCGGCGGCGTCGAGCCCAGCTTCAGCACGAGCTGCCCTGATGCAGTGTACAACCTCGCGATCCAGTGCATCGCGTTTGACCCGACGACGCGCCCCAAGGCCAAGGCCATCGTCCGGTACCTTCGTGACGCTCTGCGACTAGTAGGGTAGTAAATCTCGATGTATTAGTGTAGCGATGTTACTGTTTTACTAGTAGATTGAATTGGTTTTAGTTGGTCGACATGTCGGTAACATGGACGCCACAGATCGCCAACGTAACAACAGGATTTTGCAATCTGTGCGTACACTGTTTTAATGACTTCCTGTGTTTCCTAGTATCAACGTCGGGATGTCGTCCGAGGCCTCTCCCGTGGCAGCTCATCGATGCTGCTCTGTGGTGGGGCGAAGTACCTCTTTGAGCACGACGCCTGGATCCTTGGGGACGTCTGCCATCTCGACCGCGCGTCGGCGGTTCTGAATGGGCTCTTGAGCGTTCGGTATCAAAATCAGTGGGTTGTCTTTGACGTCAAGACGTGGTGCGTCCACAAGCTCGGGGTCGCGAGCGACCTCCGCGTACGCACGTTTGAAGATATTGTCGTCGTCGATCATCGCTTTGGATCGGCCCTTCCACTGCGAGAATGATACGTCGAATCGATTCAGTAAAGTAAGAATGTTGACACATCCATATCGTCCGCTGCAACCACAGATACGCACTGCGCTAGCGATCGTCGATTGTCGATCGCACTGCTGTGTGGATGGTGAAATGTACTTGATATTATCAAAAAAGATCTTATCAAGTTGATAAAATCGTATTTTACTATTTTTCGGCGTGTCTCAGTGAATGGTCACGGACGTGTCCTTGAGCACCTTGATGTTGAGGACGAGACTGGTAATGTCTGTGAACTGGTCGTCGAGCAGGTGGATGTGATGGCCGCTGTCCTGGGCGACCGTGCACAGCATCTCGCCCGCCGTATCAACGTTGGACGACGTGGTTGTTGTAGGTTGAACCGACACGCGGCGCTGCTGCGCGAGCTTCTTGGCGCGCAAAAGGTCCTTCTCTGGCAGTCCAAACGTCTGCAAATGCGATAGAAAGTACCACTGCAGCATCAGAAGACGTCGCGCCTTGCAGGCCAGAACAGCGCTGTTCACATCCACGTCCGAGACAAAGTCCATGAGGATCGACGTGCTGTTGAACGTGGCTTGGCGCGCGAGGCTGTTGTTGGCCATGCGCCGCCAAAAGCGACGGTTGATCACCTGGTCAAAGGCAAGCACCAGAAGTATATTGAGAAGAAGTCCGCCCGAGATGGCCCACGTGCCCCGGACGTACCAGCTGTCGAGCAAGTCGATGATGGTGCCATCGAGCGGCTCGACGGTATTTTTCAAGCCGACGCGCACTGCGTTGTTGTACTCGATGAACGGCGGGACGTAAAAGAGCAAGATCGCCGAGAGGTAGAGGGACGTGACGTTGCGAAGGTTCAGGAAGCCCATGACGCGACTCTCGCCGCTGTAGGTTGCAGTCGAGATGACATGCCACGCGAGCTTCAAAAGCTTGAGCGTCGCGCAGTTGAGCCAGAGAAGACGCGTCGAGAGCGCAAAGAGCTGGATCGTCATGCCCAACTGCGGGCTCGTGGCGTTGAAGACGTTGACGTCGCGGATGAACGTAATGGCGTGGTTGATGTCCAAGAGGACTGCGAGCGCAAACAGCCCGACAAAGAGGTCGTTGTTGTACGAAAACCTGTCGAAGCGCAGCGCATACGACGGGTGCGGGAAGCAGCGGGGCGCGATTGTGCGCACGATAGAGTCCCAGATCGTGCCTGGCGCGGCTTCGAGCCACTGCACCGTGCGCCGGCTTGCGAGGTACCCGCCAATCGCACACAAGAGCGCGATGCACTTGAGGTAGTTGGACGCGGCCGTAAAGACACTTTGTGGCAGCATGAGCCCGAGATGGTACGGCGTCTGGTCGATGAAAACACCGCTCGTGACGCGGACGCTGGCGCTTGACGCGTTGTAGACAAAGGTGAGGTTGCAGTGGCCGCGCCCAAACGTCGCTGACGGCGAACACCCGGTGCAGTAGGACCGTGGAAAGTACCGGTAGAAGATGACCGGCATCGACTGCGGGCGACTCGCATTGACTAGAGTGACGGGTACCGTCAACCGGACGTCGGCTTGGAGGCGGGCGGGCGTGTATCCGAGGGCACTGAGCTGGCTACGGCCCATCGAAGTGTTCCCGAGGTTTTTGGTCATGTCGTCGGTAAACGTGTGGCTGAATGCTTGACCGCGGAGGTACGAGATCGAGTCGGTGGCTCCACCCAGCTGCACCGTGAGCGACGGCGCCGCGTACACGCCTTTCCAAAACCCGCATTGGTCCAAGGTCGCCGACGTCTCGAAGGTGCCGGCCGAGAGCAAGAATACCTTGTCGTTGTCGGGCGTCACGAGCTGCGTCATTGTGTAGTTGAACATCCACTGGGCGACCTTGGACATGTCGGTGAGACTTGCGCCTTTTGCAAACGAGTATTGCCGGAGGAGGTCTGCGGTGCCGGAGGCGGTTGCGAGGGGCGTCAAAAACTGGTAGCCGTTGCCGACAAAGTTGTTGATGGCCCAGTTGTTGGAGATTGTGTCGAGTCCGACGAGGCAGAGCACCGCGATGCCGGTGAGGTACGAAGCGAACGCGATGACTTTGGCGCCGACCACCGAGAGAGGCGGCGTCTTGGGGCTTACGACAGCGTAGCGCGCTTGACGCATGTTCCGGTAGTTTGCAACTGAAGAAGTCGTGCTTGACGCCCAAAAAAGGTTCTATGAGCAGAGAACGCCGCACGCCTCCGCCCAACGGCAGCAGCGATCAGTCACCGCCCGTAACCAACGACCACCCCTTTTGAAACTTGAGCCAACCATCTATGGCTGGCACGCGACTTGGCCAGAAAAAGTTCGTTGCTTGCTGTTGCTATTCACGAAATATGGGGTCGATAGTGTATATTCATGCAGTACGCTCCAAGAACTCCCTATCGGAAGGGCAAAGTGGATGGACGATCGCCATGGCTTCGAAACCGCTCGGTCATCAACACGATTACCGAAACCGTCTCATTCTGCAAGGTTACACTGTGTCGGGTTTCGACCGTTGCGACGTCGTGGGAGCTCCGCCGATGACGCAAAACGCTGCAGTCAACATCAACGCACCTTGAGGTCCGACAAGGATCTGTTCCGTGCTTTCGAACCTTTGCTGCGGCGGCTCCAACTGACACTTTGCTCAGAAATTGATCCCATCAGCGCAGAATGAGGGTCATCGACTGTGCATCCCAGTGTAGGTGGCATCGCACAACGCGGACCGGGAGAGGCGCAAGAGAGACACAGTTGTCGTGGTCCATATTGCATTCAGGTCGGGGTTCGTATTCCGACTTTTTCGTCGACGCACCAGGTGCCAATTGAGACGATGCTGATATAATGCCGTTCCAACGAGACACTTTTGAAGTAAAAAGTGCAAGTCACTTGGTGCACAAGACTGCCACGTGGTTTCGGCGCGCCGAGAGCCAGCGCCGGAGCAGGTGGCGGCGCCGCCACGTCGTGCACATAATCCCAGACGCAGCGATGCAACTCGTCCTTCTCTTGCTGGTGCTCGCGCCGGCGGTCGCCGACTGGTCGTGCATGCGCGTGAACAGCGCAATCGACGCCTTCCGCCTCAACGCCGACGGCGACGTCGAGTGCGGGTCGCTCGACGGGCGCAGCTGCAACTGGGTCAAGACCTCAAGCAAGTGCGATAGCTCGCCCAGCGACGCGCTCGCTTGCGGCGCGATGCACAAGAAGCTCTACGGCATCACGGGCTACGACGATCCGAGTCATTGGTGCTACAAGGTCCGCCTCGTCCTGAGTCCCGTGACCGACACGCCCGTGACGGATGCACCAACAACCCTCGCACCAACAACCCTCGCACCAACAACCCTCGCACCAACAACCCTCGCACCAACAACGCTGGCGCCAACGACTGTAGCGCCAACGACTGTAGCGCCAACGACTGTAGCGCCGCGTCCGACGACCGCGATGCCGTCCAAGGCGCCCGCCACGCCGTCGGCGACAGTCGCGACCACCGCACCGACCTCGCTGGACGTCGAGCCGTCGTCGAACGGTAGCACAACCGAGGCTCCACGCCCCACGACGTCGACCGTGCTGCAACCAGCCGACGCCACGTCCACCTCGAGCGGTACCTCCGGCTCGTACCTACAAACAAAGCTCATTCAACCAACGTAGGGGTCATGGGCACAGTGGGCTACCTCGTCTTGGCACTCGGCGCGCTCGTGTGCGTCGGCGCCATTGCGTTCTTTCTTTTGCGCCGGCGAAAGAAGCACAAGGAGCAGCTCGACTCGCTCATGTGGGCCGAGACGCACAAGTCGCTCCACCAGATCGACGCCAAAGCGCAAGTGGCCGAAGGCTACTACTCGCAAGAGCCCGCCAAGCCACCGCCGCCCAGTGGCACGTTCTCGGCGCGCGTGACCGAGCAGTCGTGCGACATTGAAGATGGCTTTGACGCGTACATGCCAGCCTTTGACACGATCTACAGCAATGAAAACAGCAGCTTCCTCGTCCAAGCGGCCAAGGCCGACGCCGACCTCCTGGAAGAGCTCGAGCTCTGGCGCCTCGACGGAGCCCTCCTCACCCTCACGGAGCAGCTCGCCTCGAGCCAGGACAAGGAGGTGTGGCGCGGCGTCTACGACGACGAGGTGGTTGCGGTCAAGAGCCTCAAGGTGCACTCGATGGAGAACGCGACGGCCAAATTCGTGCACGAGATCCAAATCCTCATGAAGTACGTTCGCCGCTGGTCGCCACTTCGATCCTCATTTGCCGCGTAGGCTTGACTGCCCCAATATTGTGGCCATGTACGGCGTCATTTACTCGCCCGAGAACGTCTCGGAGAGCGTCCAACTGGTCTACGAATTCATGGACAATGGCAACCTCGCGCAGTACCTCGCTCGCACCCCGGTGCACGAGATGCACTGGACCGAGAAGGTCCGGTACGCGATCGATATTGTCATCGGCCTCCAGTACCTCCACGCCCGGGGCATCATCCACCGCGACCTCAAGTGCAAGCACGTGCTCGTCAACTCCAACATGCAGGTCAAGCTCACGGACTTCAACGGGTCGCGCGAGACCGACGTCTTTATGACGCAAGGCGCCGGCACCTTGCGCTGGACGGCCCCCGAGGTGTACACGGGCAGCTCGTACACGGTGGCCGCCGACATTTACTCGCTCGGCATGATCTTCGTCGAGCTGGAGACGCACCTGACGCCGTTCGCAAAGGAGGTGACGTCCAAGGGCCGGCCGCTCAACGACTTTGAGATCATGCAGCGCGTCCAAGACCAGTCGCTCGTACCGCACTTTCCAGCCGAGAGCCCGTTTCGAGAGATGGGGCTGCAGTGCGTCGCGTGGGACCCGCAGCTGCGCCCGACGCCCGACGAGATCATCACTGCGCTCGAAAACGAGCTGCAGCGCGCGACCATGTCGTTTTAATATCGTGGTAATATATAGGTGTAGGGTTGTGTTGATTCTGCGCTCTGGGACAATTACAAAAATGGCTCCCTTTTAGATTAAATACATGTACGTAGTAGCACAAGCCCAAGACGCAGAGGAGGAGGCTCGGGGCTCGCTCAATGTTTAATGTTCAACGCGAAGACGGCAGCCATGGCGTGGCTGCTTGTTGCACCCGACACCGCCAAACGACGAGGTGGCAGACGCAGCCCAACGTGGAGGCGCAAAGACCCGGCTGAGGCCACACGGGGCCTAGAGTCCATCCATGGTTTTTCATGTATTCTTGCTGATACATACAGCGACCGCGCAGTAGCAAATGCTATGCAAGACGCATTGTCCTCAGATCGACGCTTCTCGCGACGTCCTGGCACACCGTGCTGCCACGTCTAAATTCGGCACATGCCATTTTTAATTGCCGACGAACGTGCAGTTGACCTTGAACATGGGTCAATAATAAACCCATGCCTTGAACGACAAACGTCTCTGCACGCACAAGCAGAAACGCGCGTCCAATGCACGGGCTTTGACGAGTGTCCATGGTCGACCTTGCGATAAAAATCGTGGCTTCAAACCGGAGCCCGCTGCCGCAACACGCCGTGCCCCGGGTCCATTGTTTATAGTACAAGACGTCTATATTTCAACGATGCTTTACAGTTCTCGGCGCGTCGCTTGCGGGGACTTGCCTCTTTCTGCGCTTCTGCGATCGATTGCAGTAGGTCCATGCGGAGCTGTCGCTGGCGTAAACTCAGCTGCGTCACGTCGTCCTTACTCAAGCCCGCGCGTTTCAAAAAGTACAGGCGGTCTTTGGCCGAGTAGCGCAGCACCGAGTGGGCGACGTCGACGGACGACGGTGTCGAGAGGCTGGTCTGGCGCATCGCGATCGGGCGGCCGGTGAGCCCGATACCCGGCATTGCGTCGCGTGGCAGCGCGCTGCCGTTGAAGCCGACGGGGAAAAAGTACTCGACGGCCGCGCCAAAGCGCACGTGGCGAGAGGGTGATGGCATCGGAAGATCAAAATGAGAAATGACAAGCGATCGGGCGCCCGCACCCATCATCCGGATATTCGTCGTAAATTGCCCTGAAAAGTACTTCGGATGGTGGTACCATGGACGTATCCTGTCACGACGTATTTTGCGAGGGGTTGTAGTTGCAAAGCAAAATCCTATGCAGCTCAAGCTTAGGACCCTTGTGCAGAGCCATGGATATAGTTGGCAGTGGGTATGCCGATGACGCGGCGTTGGAGAGGTCGAAATAGTACTACGTTTGTACGTTCAAGTCGAGGTGCAAGGTGCGGAATGACCTAATAGCGTCCCGCAGCAGTGCGCAGACACGTCTTTCTCGAGCTTTCTACGTAGAGACGCCGTGGTATATGGTGGGGGCACCTGAGTGCTGGAGAAGAGCCGCTCGAGCCAACCCAACCGTCGGTGCGCCCACGTCATCTAGGTACTTTATAAGACAATTTATGGATCGCGCGCCGGATTGGCAAGTTGATTTATTTCTTGGCATCCGGATACGATGGCCCTTGTGCCAATGGACGTTGTTTCTGTTCGCCTTTGAAATAGATCTACCAAGGTGGATTGTCCTTTCCAGTTGGAACCAGAAGCAGATTTCTCTTGGATTCAAACTTACCGCTGCATTTCTCGTTCTCGTGTATAGATGTTCGTGAGCACGAGTCAGAGTGCAATTTGCTAACGAGTACATCAGTCGGTAGATCACCAGCACGACGTACTCAACATGTCGAGAGGCGACGCTCAGCGATAAGTATGAGCTCACGCGGCAATGGCATCCGCAAGATTTCTTGACAAAGCGCCGCACGAGTGCTCGAGCTAATACTGCCATCAGCATTGCACCTGCAAGCCCACTTCGCTTGTAGCAATTTACCTGTGACGATCCCACGACGTAGTCTCCTGAGTGACCTATGCGTGGACGCCTCGTTCATTTGCGACGACTGTCGTACGCCCACGTTTGCTTGGTGCTCGCTGCGTCGCTTGCAAAAGCCTTTTCGCGTCAGAGTACGGAGCACTAACACAATTTCCCTTGCGCAACGCCACTGGCCCTTGGGACCCTTGCGCCGGATTCGGATTCGGATCAAGATCAAGCGCACGGCGTCCACCGAATCTTTTTGGCAGAAACTACGAGCTCGGGTTGACTCTTGGCTTGCTTGTTTCTCGGCTACGAACGTTAAGGTCACGTTCACTTCCTGATCTTGTTGGTTGCATAATACCCGCCAGGTACATAAACGTCGGAATGGAAGCACACCAAGTCGTCGTTGATGTTTACAAAGGTGTCGTTTGGATGGCTCTCGAGACCTTGTTAGAGTACCAGGTACTGTACGAGACGACCATATCATTTCGCACGCAGCGCCTCTCGAAGTGCTCCAGTCCGCCAACGAACGTTCCAGACGACAAGCCGGTATCGATGCGCCAAAGAACCTTGGCAGGGGAACTGCGCAGCGAACGGTGTCGACGAGTGGTGGGTGCACGTAGCATAAAACGCGCACGCTTGACAGTCCCTCGCTTGACGACACTTTGGTGCATGGCGTTTTGTGTCTCTTTATTCGACATTTCAACTATGTATGAATCGGGAAATACATGATTCGCCTCCCGTTTCGCGCTGATTGCTCGGACCAATGCAACGCCAATACACATGCAAGCAAGATGACGACGGAACTAGCCATGCATGGATATGGCCTCGCAGGTGTCGCACCTGTTGGTTTCGCGGCGGTTGTAGCCTCCTAGATGATGGGTGGCGGGACCGCACGAACGCCACCCCTTTGCAAGCGACGCGGATCAAAAAGCAAACTCAAGACGTTAAACAAGCAATTACAAAAAGGGTCGGAGCAGGGTTTCGATCACAGGAAGGACCACATCGAGTCAATGTCTTCGCACGTGAGCGTATCGCTGAACGACTCGAAGTTGCGCTCGTCGAGCCACGCGTCAATGTTGATCGGGTCCTCAAACACGAACGCATCGAGGACCGCAAGGTCAACGTCATCCATGGTCACGTCGGCGTTGGGCGAGTACGGGATCGGGTCGAGCGCCACAAGCTCCGCGAGCTCGGCGTTCTGGCGCTGCTTGAACGCGCGGATCTCGCGCCGGCGCCGCGACGCATACGTGCGCTGAATCGCATTCGCCTTCTTGCGGTGGAACTCGCAGAGCGCGTGGGGCGACCCGTCCTTCTTGGTCGAGCGCGGGTGCGGGCACTCCTTGTACGAGTAGCGGCAGGTCGTCGTCGCAGACATGGGTCGAGTTAGGCAAATTCCAAAGTGGCATGTCGGACCGTGCCCGCGTTCCGCTCTTGCATGAATTTCAAAATGAAATTTCGCTCGTCATCCGGATACAAAGGGCAAATTCAGGTGTACGTACGGTGCACGTACAACGTACGTCTGCTGATACTGGCTCGTTGTATGCAGTGTACGACGACACGGAATGAACGTACGGCCCCGATCACTACAATTCATTGCGTTGTGTTGATATGGGACACCGTATGGGATGTGCGTGCGACACGAACGCAAATCTCAAACTCAAAATCCCAAGCGTGCGAGGCTGACACGTAAGAGGCATGCACGCACCGTGTTGATACATGGCACGGAAGCAAGGTCGGACCTGTCGCGCCATGTGGCTCCCTCGCTGCGCTCTATATTTCTCTCGCGTGGAGTGGCCGTCGCCAGATCGTAGTCGCTCATTTGGACATGGCAATGCTGTGCTTACTCCTCTATGGAATGCTTGCTGGACCATCGCAGACTGGGCGCGGTAGAAGCCACATATTTGCACCTATGGTCGCCTGGAAACTCCATTCTTGAAGGTCGTCTTTCTACTGTCCCGTCGTCGGACGCGGAGGATTCATTGACGCTGGTTATTATACACCCCCTTGGGTGGACTCGAGCGATACTAGAAGATGCAGTGAGTGATGGAGCATTGGTGTTTGAGCAAACGTCGAAGAGATTATTGAGACTGGTCATCTACAGTTACATGCATTGGACCGGTGCAGCGCTACCCCTAGCCGATTGATGCTCATCAAGCTCATCCAGCATCCAAAGACCAGGAATAAGACGACGAACTCGAATCCAAGAAGACATTGTCGTTAGCATATCGTACATCGCTGGACGTTGTGGATTAAATAAGGAAGATTTACGACATACACTGCCTTGACCCAACGACAGCGCGCCTAGATATATACAGGGTGTATGCAGGACGGCTCTCAGATGAGCTCTCTCAGAATCGCAACGTCGTCTTCGGTCAGCGACCCGTTGTTGGACGTGCCGTCGTCGCCGGTACTGTCCGAGTCGTTGTGGTACGGGATCGGGTCCACGCGGCGGGCGCGGGGCCGCGGCGGCGGCGGCGTGATGCCTGCGGCCTTGAGCGTTCGCCGCAGATGGCGCTTCTTGCGCGCATAGAGCTTCTGGATCGTGTTGGCTTTGGACCGGTGAAACTCGCAGAGCGTGTGGAGCTCGCCGTTCTGCTTGGACGACCGGACGTTCTGGCAGTCTTTGTACGCATACCGGCACTTGGTGTTGCCAGCAAACGGACTCGCACTCGCTGGTGCGGCGGCCGGGTGTGGCGACCCAAACGGGTGGGGCGGCGGTACAGGGTGGGTGTTGCTCTTACTGTTGCTCGGGTGCATTCGGGTCTTGCGAGCAAAATGAGATTTGACCGCGTAGCCTTCGGCGTCGCTGGTTGCCGCTTGCCTTTTTGTATTATCTTGGTGTTTGTATGCCAGTGCCACAGAATACCCACGCGCGCCAAAATTTGTCTTCGACACTTGGTTTTTGTATGCCGACTTCAACAAGTAAGCGCTGCTTTCGCCAGCGCGTCACCCAGCACATGTTGCTAATCTCACCATTGTATTCAAGAAGCACAGACCATTGACGTAGGGATCGCGGCCGCAGATGGAAGCTGCTGGACACCTATAAGCTTTGACCACTGAGCGGCCAACGGTGGCTGTCACATGCAACCGGGTGTGCTGTCCCCAAGCAGTATACTTGATCGAGGTCATTGGGTGATATGACATTGGCATGGGGTAGTAAAACCATGGCGACTGCGCGATGACGCCAGAAGCTGTGCACAATCGTAGACAAGGAATCATGACGGTCGCCTACTCCAGGTACACGTGAGGTCGCATGCATACGCTTTAATTGGTGCAAACTGATCGAAGGACAG